CCAGAGGTCGACCTCGGCATGGACCTCCGAGTCAAAGCCCGGCGTGTCGAGCAGGTGGTACACCGAGAGCGGGTATCGTGCGCGCGCCATGAGCTTGGCAAACAGCTGCGCGCTGGCTTCGTACGGCAGCGGCTGCAGCGCGTACGTCTGCGCGCTAAACCCGAGCCTCAGCGGCGCCTTGGCCATCGGGGCGGTCACGAGCAGCTTCCAGTCGTTTTGGCTGCTAAGAATGCTGTCGAGGAAGCTCTCAAAGTCGCTTTGGCGACGCAAAAGCACGTCGCAGCCGTCAAGGAGCACGAGGCACTGCTTCTTGCTCGCGCCAGCAAACGCTTTAAGCCGCACCGAGACCTCGGCCTGGACCCTACAATCAGATAGGGTTAGGGGATATCGCTCAAGGTGACAGTCGTACGCGTCGTAGCAGCCGTCCTGCCCCAAGACTGCCGCGTCCAGCGTGTCAGCAAAGGCTTGTACATGGATGACATGGACGCCGCCGTCAAAGTACCCGCGCAGCGCGAGGTCGTCGCCAACGGCGCGAGCTAAATGCGTCTTGCCGACCCCTTCCGGTCCCGTCAGGAGCACGAGACGCGTAAAGAACGGGTGGTGCGGCGGCCGTGCGAGGTAGGTCGAGACCTACAAGGACCGTGACGTCCTGACGCGGACGACGAGATGCGTACGACGACAGCCTCCTTGTGCCGAAATTCCAGAGTCTAGAGCACACAAGAGGGATAGTACATAGCCTTGGAGGTGGACCACAACCTCGGCCGCGTGCAAGTGCAGAAAAGGGCTCGGAAACCGCTTTAGGAACGGGTCCCGCATCATCGCAACGGTCCCTCGCAGCGACGGGAAGAGGACGTCGCGGTGGTCGCCGTGGTGTGGCAAGAGTCGAATCTTGTCACTTTCCTAAACGACAATATTAGCACAGTCTAAAATAAGATGGTGGTACCGCCTCGGCGCCGTTGAGGTCGTGGCTGCGCACGGACGCGATCGCGCGGTCGAACGCGGTTTGCACCGACTGCCCGCCCCCGAGCTCCTGGTAGAGCCGCCTACGCCCGTCCTTGACGTGACGGCGATCTATCTGTATCGTACTGGGCAAAGATGGGCGCCACCCAGTCCTGGAGCTTGGACGATGCGTCCACGGCAATCACGTGTGGAATGCCATATCTTAAAAACGGGCCAGCTACAAGCCGAGAATTGGTGACCGACGCATCCATACTGAGAGAGACGCACCCATGGACGCCGAGTGGCACACGAGCAGCAGCGCGAGCTGGACGCCAGACACAGCGTGGGGCGGCGCCAGCTGGAGACATTGGTCGAGGGCCTCGGCGTTGACCGCGGTGCCCATCAATGGCTGACTGGCCTCGCCTTCAAAGAAGAGCTGGCCGGGCAGACCGTGGCCCGCCAAGTGGAGAACGCAGCAGCCGTCGACGAGCGCCTTGTGCAAGTTGAAAAGGGTCGCAAAGCCCGTCTTGAGGCCCACCATCGGGTGCTACACAAGCGTCTTGCCCATGCGTCAACGAGCAAGTCAACCTCAGAGAGGGCTAGGCCCGACGCGATGCCGTAATACTCGTTCTGGAAGCTCAGTCGCTGCATGGAACATGCATCAGTGTCGTCCGACGAGGCAGAAACTACCTCGCCAAAGAGGAGAGCGCTCGCCGTGCGCGTAATGAGCGGGTTCATAAAGAGCACGTGCTACGCGAATGCCTGATTCAAAAGAGCAAAGCGCTCGGTCGCGTACGGTCAGGTAGGACGCGATCATGGCCTCGTGCAAGATATGGCGCTGGGCCATCGAGTCGATTTCATACCGTGTCGCCTGGACCGTATAGAAGAGCCAGCCAAAGAGGCAGAGCTCGGCGCCGTCATGGAGCTCGTACAAGACGCCCACGTTCACTAGGCAGCACCGTAACGCAAATTCGCAGCTGCAACGACGTACTGTGACGCTTGTTGAGTGTCGTCGTCGAGGTCTGGCTCAAGTTGGTCGCATAGAGCTTGCCACGACGGAAGACGACCTCGCAGTGGTCCTTGCTCATACTCATGGCCAGGTCGCGCGCCTTGAGTATGCGCTTGTAGTGCTCACGTTTAAAGACGTGCGTTGGCGTCTCGGGCCTACGCGGCCATGAGGCCATGCACCATCCGAGGCACCTCGCACCCGAGGCCGATGCGCACGTAGGCGTCGAGCCCAGCCAGCTCGTGGCGCTTGAGGCACGACGTCGTCTTGACGTCCATGGCCAGCGTAAAGGGCGGGAGGAGCATGTCCATGTCGCCCAGCGCCTGCGAGAGCTCGTCCGCGCGGCCGCTGCTGAACATCCTGTTGCGATCTTCCGCTTGCTGTTCACGCTACAAAACGCGAGTGGCACATGTCGTCCGGATACGACAAACGTATCCGGATATTGGGCGGACGTCAACTTGTCAACTTGCGCATGATATCCTATGGCGCCTTGCAGGAGCGTTGCCACTTGCATTGAAGACATGCCAAGCTCTCTCGACGACAGGCTCGCATGCTCATGTATAGTAGGAATGGTAGCTACGTGAAAGCTTGTACGCTGCTGCGTCCGCCAAGCGCGTGGCGACTCCAAGCCTCCTGCATCTACCCTGCTGGAATCTGAGCTACGCTTTAAAGGAGGCGTCGTTTTCTGCAAAGCTCGGCCCGCACCCAAGTAGTGGAAATGTATTCGAGCTCATTTGGTGGAGCGTACGAAAATTATACAATATTATATCAATTCAAAATGAAAAGCTTTAAGGGATTGGTGTGTAAGAGTTTGTGTGGGGTGCATGAGTCATGTGGGTTCGATGCGGTCGTTCATGACTGTTTGGGCGGTGTCGGAGTGTTTTGTCCTTTAAATTTGCTAAAAGTATGAAATTCAAGCGTACGCTAGTGCTTTCATGGTCCACCCAGGCGCCGCTGGCCAGCGGATTGTGGACGCAAGGTGCAGCGTGACACGCCATGCGATTCGTTGAAGTCGCCTTGCAGCATGACGAGGCGTCATTACCTCTCTTTTCAAGTCGCCGCGTCATGGGCTTGTGTGCGCTGCTGCAGTCGCACTGGAGCGTCGAGCGTTTGCCAAAGTCACCGCGGCAGATTGACGCCGAGGCGTTCCTCTTCTGCGTTCCATCGCCGTTTGCCTGCGACGCCTACCACGTCTCGCACTGCGTGCGTTTTAGCCGCTGGCACCTCTTCGTCGCGGCCTTTGTCACGCAGTTTTGCGTTGGGTCGCTCTACGCGTGGTCGGTCTACAATGCGTACATTGACAACTACATCTTGGGCGACCCGGCAGCCGGCCACGCGGTCGTCGCCTTCTACCTTGCGTGCGGCTCTCTCGGGCTCTCGGCGGCGATTCTTGGTCCGTGGCTCGAGCGCACGGGCCCTCGGTTCGCGATCGCGGTCGGCGCGACGCTCTTCTTGATCGGACACATTGGCGCTGGCCTCGGTATCTACTACAAGAGCATGGCGCTCGTCTACGTGGCCTACGGCGGCGTCGTGGGGGCAGGCATTGGCATTTGCTACATCTCGCCGGTTGCCACACTCCAGGTACGCGACATGTAAAAACGTCAATTGTATCAACATATCAATTTGGATGTGGATAGAAATGGTTTCCCGATTTGCGTGGCACGGCCGGCGGCTTTGCCGTCTGTGGCTTTGGCGCCGGGCCCGTGCTCTGGGCGCTCCTCTTCCCGTACCCGATCAAGCTGTGGGGGTAACATTCTTCTTCCTCTATTGTTGCATGCAATATACGAATGACGATCATGATGATAGGACACCCGTGTACCTCTCTTTCGTGATGTTTGGGGCGGGCATGAGCCTCATCCTGTATGCCTGTGCGATCGTGATGCGCACGCCACCACCGGGCTTCTCCGTGCATGGGAAGGACATGCATGGCATCCACCGAGCCCGCGTCCGAAGGATGGCCGACGAGAACGTCCGGCTGCCGCGGCGCGCGCCCAACGGCAACGTCATTTTGTTTGTGCCGGAAGACTTGGAGGAGGTGCCGATGGTCCAAGAGACGACGACTGAGCATCCACACGAGTACTACCGCGAGTCGGAGATGGACGACTCGGAGCTCTTTTACTTTCAACGTATCAAGCAGCTACCGCTCGCAGCGTGTGTCATGTCGCCTGAGTTTGCCTTGTTGTGGGTCATGTTTTTTCTTGAAATTTCGTTTGGCCTCGTGCTCATCTCGCGCCTCAAGGACATGGATTTGTACCTCTTTAGCGCCAATATCACGGCCTTCACACCCGACGACGTCGACCGCGCCGAGCGCATGGTCAGCTACAACGGCATCTTCAACTTTGCCGGTCGGCTTGTCGTGCCCATGGTCTCGGATCTGCTCATTCGCGGGTGCTACGTGCACCCCGCAGACGGCCGCAAGCTCATCTTCCTTTTCATTCTGGCGGTCCAAGGCGGCATCGCGCTCGTGCTGCAGTCGACGCTGGAGCAAAAGAACCACGGACTCTTCCAGACGCTTGTGTGGCTCCTCACTTTTGTCTACGGTGGCGGCTTTGGCACGATCCCGTGCCTCCTCTGTGATATGTTTGGCGCCTTCAACATCGGCGCGCTTCACGGCATCATCCTCACGTGCTGGTCCATTGCGGGCGTTGGTGGCGGTCTCGGGTTCACCTCGATCTTTGACGCCGCCATCAAGACGCAGTCGACTGTCGCTGCGTACGGGGCCGCGATGCCGCTCTTCAGCATCGGCGCAGCCGTGGGCATTGGCGCGCTTCTGTTGGTCCGCACAAGCCCCGTCGACCGGTTCGCGCCCGGGTACCAATTTAGCATCGGTCGCTTGACGCTCTGCCACTTTGGTCGACGCAACGCAAAGACAATCCAGCAGCCGCGCGCCCCGACGTCGGGCCGCGTGACTGGCAACGACTACCACGACCTACCGTCGCGTTCCTAACGCGATACAGGCTAATATATATATATACGTGTCATCCGTGTTGTTCCAAGGACTTTGCGAAGTACGCGCGGGGCTCGTCTTGCTCTTTTGTAGTCGCTCGGGGCGCTTTCAGCCGCGAGTGAGGCCTCTGACGACAAACCCCGTACATTTCTTCCCGATGTCGCGATCAACGGCAACGCGACGCAGGTTGTTGAGGTCCTCGACAGACGCCAGCGACGGGAGGTCAGGAATATCGACAACGTGAGCTTGGTGCGGCCTAAAAAACGGGGCGAAGCAACGGGCTGCGGCAACGTTGGCAAGAAGGCCTTTCTTCGGGCGCAACACGCGATGTCAGCGCTGGCGGGCAACGATGTCGCTCGCTCGGCGGGACGCTGTCGCAGAGTCGAAGATGTGTACAACGAAATTCTGATCGGAAACGAGCATGTCCTGTCCGTCGTGTGCCGTGATGGGTAAGGAATAGTACCTGCGTAAATGACCTTACCATGAACCTACATAGCCGGCACTGCATTCGCTTTTTCAAGCGGTTGAAGATGCTGTGTCATGGTGATCAGTCGACGCAAAACGGTCGCCAGCTCGGCGGTTTCGTTGGTGACGTGGCAGCGCGAGCGAGAGGCTACCAGGATGGCTACCTGGTACGTGTGCCCACGTGTGCTACATTGAAACCCGCTCTGCAGATGTAGTCAAAAGGTACGCGCGCAGAAACGCATGTACCTGGAGCGTTGAGCTGGCATAGTCGACCTTGAAGCTGCATGTTTTTAGCGGTAACAAGACCTTGATAAAGGCGTGCAGAGGTCGACGTTGGCCACCGCTGGATTTTAAAGGGTCTGGCGTCTGATTTGCGTTCTTCGCACCCCTTCGTCTCGTACTTCTACCTTGCAGTAGGGAGGAACGCTTCTCCCTTCGGAGACGGACGACGGCGTTCTTGAGGACTCATTTGCTCTGGTGGTAGCACCCGGCTGCCGAGTACATTTGGACGAGCGATGAATTTTGGCGCACAGGTCGTTCATGCACAGACAGCAGACCGCCTCGTCATGCGCACGGAGGCAACATGACTCTTACTGGATCCACTAGATTGGGTATGTTTAATACAAAACGGCGTCGACCAACCAACGACCAGCAAGGGGATGGGCCAGGATGAGTTTCACCGAGTATCTTGTTAGCGATTGCTAAGTAACCCGCAGCGCGGACAGTGGTCGGCCAAGAAAAAGTAGAGCATCGAGCGCGACGCTACAGTGTCGTTGACAGAAGCAGAGACGAGTGTTTATATTACTCATTTTGAAAAGACTACTATGCTCTAGAAAGGCCCATGACCATGCGGCCACAGCTTGCGACCACCGCTCTCAACCAGCTCTCACGGGCTATTGACGGGCTATTGACGGAACATCCGGGATCTTGTTACAAATCACGCGGTGTCGGATGCGTGTCATAACGGAAGCTTAGCTTGCAGTGCGTCGCGGACGACAGCAACACGTGCACCTGTGAACGCCATGTGGTGTCCCTTGCCCTGAGAATCGCAGCCAACTGTCAGCCGCAAGCTTACCAGCAGCGTGCACGCTCTCCAGCGTAACCTTGGTAGCGTAAAGACACTCTCTTGCACACGTGCCGTCCCGAGCACCCCTCCGACTTGGCGCTTCATCCATGGCGTTGATTCGTCCTTGGATCGCTTGGGAATTCTTGGTTTCGCTACGGCAAAGTAGCTTTGCGGAGTAGCTTTGCTCCCAGCCTCACAATTTTCTCTTCAAGCAGATGCAACACCGGCCAATCGGATACGCAGACCAGACGATGTCCTCATCGACCGCCGCGGATGACAAGATACACATAACGCTACCGCGCTCTGATTGGTCATTGCGTTGCGACACCCCCTATCCCGTCAACGCAGCGAGTAGCTGGCGTCAAAGACACGCTACGTCCACGCTTTTCTTGTTTGCATCATCGCTAGTTTCTCGATAAACCAAGCCTCGCAACGGGTCGATCACGTACTTGCTTTGTCTGGTCGAGCGGCTTGGTTGTCCCGTATATATATATATATTTAAATGAATAAAATACCGGGTCTTGACCCTTACGTGGCAGCACGGAAAGCCGGGTGGCACTTGGGTACGCATCACGTCGGTCGTAGCATCTGTTGCGTGCCGACGAGTAGCGATGCACTGCATCGACGACAAGAGAAGAAAACGGCAACCAGATTTCAATTGAACGCGTCGATGCCAGCCGTCTTCCACAGCGTCTGCCACGTGATCCAACGCCATTATACGGTGCACCCGACGACCAAGTCGGCCGCCGAAACCAGCGCCGAGCGGTACCTCTTTTGCCTCCCGGCGCTGCGAACGCCCGACACCTTCTACGTCTCGCACTGCGTGCGCTTTAGCCGCTGGCACATCTTCGTCGCGGCCTTTCTCTCGCAGTTTTGCCTCGGCTCGCTTTACGCCTGGTCGGTCTACAATGCGTACATTGACGACTACATCGTTGGCGACCCGACAGCCGGCCGCGCCGTCCTCGCCTTCTACATTGCGAGCGGCTGCTTTGGCGTCTCGGCGGCGATCCTCGGTCCGTGGCTCGAGCGCGTTGGGCCGCGCTACGCGATCACATTCGCAACGACGCTCTTTCTATTGGGCCATCTCGGAACGGGCCTAGCGATCGCGATAAAAAGCATGGTCGGCGTCTATCTCTCGTACGGTGTTGTCGCTGGCACGGGCATGGGTCTTTGCTACAGCTCCCCGATTGCCACGCTCCAAGTACGTTTTTGTGTGTTTTATTCCATTTTTCTCAGTTTCTAAATTGCTGTAGAAATGGTTTCCCGACTTGCGCGGGACTGCGTCCGGGTTTGCGGTGTGTGGCTTTGGCGCAGGGCCCGTCTTGTGGGCCGTGGCGTTCCCGTACCCGCTTCAAGCCCTCCAGTACGCGATCTACCCCTCTTTTCCTCACACCCTAACCCTCGTTGGTGGTTAGGGTCCCGCTGTACCTCTCGTTTCCCGCCTTTGGACTCGCCATGAGTCTCGTGTTGTATTTTTGCGCCATGGTCATGCGCAACCCGCCGTCGGGGTTTATCGCCCATGGCAAGGACATGCACGGTATCAACCACGAGCGCGTCAACCTGCTCGCCCACGGCCAAACAATCGGAACCACGGACGACGACCGTAACGGCTCGCTCAAGAGCCGCCGGCCGCGCCAGGACGAGTGCGGCCACGTGATTCTCTTTGTGCCCGAGGACCTCGCGAGCATTCCGGTCGCCGAAGACGATCTCAACCGGACGCCGATCGTCGAGGGCGAGCCGCACCCGCATGAGTATTACCGCGAGTGCGACCTGGACGACGCCGAGCTCTTTTACTTTCAGCGCGTCAAGCAGCTCTCGCTCGTGCAGTGTCTCTTCTCGCCCGACTTTGTGTTTCTCTGGTGCATGTTTCTCTTCGCCTCTGTATTTGGCCTCGTCCTGCTGTCGCGGCTAAAAGACACGGACTTGCGCGTCTTTAGCGGTAACGCCACCGCGCCGACGACCGCCGACGTCGACCGCGCCGAGCTCATGGTGAGCTACAACGGCATCTTCAACTTTGCCGGTCGGCTCTTGTGGCCGATGGCGTCCGACGTCGTCATTCGTCTCGGCGGCCTCAACCCGGCCACGGGGCGCAAACTCATCTTTGGCGTCAACCTCTGCGTCCAGCTCCTCGTGGCGCTTCTTCTGCGAAGCGCGCTGCGCACGAAAGACCACGTGGCGTTTCAAGCGCTGGTCTGGACACTTACCTTTGTCTACGGCGGCGGCTTTGGCACGATCCCGTGCTTCCTCTGTGACATGTTTGGCGCCTTCAACATCGGCGCGCTCCATGGTATTATCCTCACGTGCTGGTCCATCGCCGGCGTCGGCGGCGGCCTCGGGTTCTCGAGCCTCTTTGACGCCGCCGAAATCCACCACTCGATCCTCAGTGCGTACGAAACCGCGCTGCCAATGTTTGCAATCGGTGCCGGCGTTGGCCTTCTATCGCTGCTTCTCGTTCGCACGAATCCCGTCGATCGGTTCGCGCCTGGGTACCAATACAGCGTCGGCCGCTCGATCTTGTGCAGCTTTAAGCCCAAGGGCTGGCAGTTTCAGCACATGTAAGACCAGGATGTAACCGCCGAGGAATTTTTATGGATATACAGTTGGTCACCCGTGTGTAGACCAAAAGGTAAAGAAATATAATATAATTGTACAAGACGACACGCGTGGTTGGTATCTCGCGGCCCTAGCTGAACAATGGTACACCGGCGAACGATCATCGCCCCATACGTGCGGTAGTGGCCCACCGAAGCGGTTTACTAGTAGATCGTAGTCGATCTGGCTCTGTTCTTAGTCGATCTAGCTTTGTTCTTAGTCGATCTAGGGTCGACTGGACCCGGCAAGGATGACCCCAGACTCGAAAATGCATTTCGCTAAAAGTAGCCACCCGATGGACGTGGTGCGGAGGATTGGCACCGCGGTATCTTGCACTGAATGTCTCCAACCATCCTGGCCACCAAAATCCTTTGAAGTCGTCGCGATGGATGCTCGCAGTATTATAAACATTGTTAATAAATAAGGTCGTGCCTACACGACGGTAGACGAGAGGCACCGGCGCACCGCGTCTGCCTGCGTGTGTGGGCTCAACACGGGGTGGCAGCGGCCCCGTGGCGCGTGAATGGGATCGATATGCGTCACAAACGCAATGATGCATGCGTTGACGTGCTCCTTGAGCGCGGGCTGCGCAGCGCTGTGGATATGGCACTGGCGAAGCACGTTGGTCAAGTGATTCTCCAACTGGCCGCACATGCCCTTGATGACGAGCGCGTCGTGGCGACCAAAGAGCGATTTTTTCGGGCACGGAAAGCTCGCGATCGATTGGAGAAATGCCGCCGCCGATTTGGGCGCCGTCCGCAGCGCCTTGTAGAAGCGCGCAAAGTCTTCGTAGACGCAGTCGACGACGTAGACGTGGCTGCCGCTAATGACCTTGACGTGGTAGACAATCGAGTGCTTGGCGAGGAAGCCCTTGCGCTTGACCATGCTGGTGCCCGTGATGCGGCAGTTGGCGATCTCGAGCCCGCGCACGATGTACATGTCGTCGAGGTTGCTCGAGCTGAGCTGCCGACGCATGTTCGCACCGGCCATCAAATGGAAAAGTGAGAGAATCCACGGAAGGCCATGGACGTTGTTGGGTCACTCGACACATCTGACCGTGGTCGCTTTTTTTAATGGGACCCCCTAAAAAGATCCACCACTATGACTCTTTTTTGTATGGCATGGAAGACGAGGGACCCCTTAAAACGTAACGACTGGTCCATACAAAACCAGCCGGGACGATGGACGGCCTAGTCAACCCGAGTGGCAGGAAGGTGGCGTCCGAACATCTGGCAGCCGCATCCATTTCGACGTGTCGGATCTGCGGATGTGGCGCCTCGAGCCACATCGTGGCACGCCAGGGTGCAGGGACGAGCTGGGACGTCGCACCTCGTAGTCCAGTGCACGGCTTTTTTTTCTCTCACTGCCCGCTACCGCTGCCTCGCTCGCTGCCCAGACATATTGGTGTGCTGCATTTCGACGGGTCATTCGATGCGAAGTCACTTGGGACGCGTGGCAGCGTGGGATGCCAGAGAAAGCACCGGAGAGAGAACAGGGCCACGCGATGGGTGCTGATGAGCATACCGACGTTGTTCGTTCAACTTCTATGGTCGTTACCTTGAAAAGCGCGGTACCACTCTAGTAGCGGCAGCGCCTTCATGTTGCACATCAAGCCAGTGACGTGTACCGTACCATTGTTCTTGACGCTCGCCTCGTCAACGCCATGACTGTGGATGCTGCCACGGGCAAAGCGACGGAGCGTCTCGGCTGGGTCCCACTAAGAGGTTGGCTCTCCTCAAAGGCCTCGTTCTTTGACCTGTTGTACGTCTTTCAAACGACAGCGTCGGTGTCTGAATACAACAAGATAGTATTTGCCTGCTCACGCTGGTAGCAACGAAGCGTTAAATAGGCGTTTTTGCGGGCTGCACGGTCGATGCGATCACACCGAGCAAGCAAGCGTCGAGCGATGCTTGCAGAGGGCGCGAAGTCGCTGCACACTGCGCGCCAATCTTGAGGGTCGCGACGAGGTGGCACTCGAGCTGCCCGCACATGCCCT